AACTTAATAACAAGTTATTAACTGAAGCCAACAAGGCTCCATACTCACTAAGAAGTCACAGACACTTTGTACTTCCAAAGTGGAAGACGGATCGTGCCTAAAGTACAATTAAATGATTCGGTTTTAATGCTTTTATACTGTTATATGCATGAATTTTTAATATTTTATTGTAAATTAATCTATTTTTAGCTTAGTTTTATTTGCAAATATGCAATTCAGCCTCTGGCTGCCCATGTATTTATTTTAATAGATTATCCTTCTGTCTATCTAACATTGGAAAAGTGCAACGTTTGAAGATTCCGTAATCAAATTGGTCCAAGTTAGTTTATAACCAAGCTATTATCAACCGAAAGATAATTAAGTTACCGTGACTTCATTCCATGGTCAGATCGTTCCAAGTCAGATAGACTGTTGCACATTTTCAGGGTAAAACTTGACGTAAGGCGACTTTTTTGGTTTCTTGGCTTAAAGAACGAGGTATGCGTACACGTCATTTTTTTGTGCTCGTGGCGGCTTAAAGACTCGTGAAATGGTCAAAGGTCAACTGTTGTGCAACAATCTGAATGATCTGACCATGGACAACGTCATCATTGTCTTAATTTGGAGATTAGTGGTGAAGAGTAAACTTGGTTCACTCAGTTTGTTAGCTTTAACCATTAAACTTCAGAGTCATTTTGTGTTCAGCAGTTGTTCTGCGAGTAAACAATGCGATTTTTTATATTTTATTGGCAGCAAGCTAAGGACAGTAAATTCCTAAATGATAGGAATGCTATTGAACGTTGTGCATGGTCAGGTCCAAAAAAGCAAACAAAAACATATAACAAAGGAGTCTAACAGGTTTCATAACCAGTCTCCTTTATTAACTATGTCTGCGTGTAGGTTTATTTCTCTTGCGTCAGTGTTAGAGAACGAGTTGGAGAATGCATGGGGAGAGTTCGAGGAGGGACAGTGATTCCTCCTCCCCTTCTGTTTCTTTAGTTCTTTTTTTCTCATGCTCAGACTTCTCACGGTCAGAGCAACCGTCACAAAGAGCTATGTACAACATAGACATTAGAATTTGTTTGCAGTTTAGGTCTTGTGTACTGCTGGCTAAGCTGTGACTCGAGAGTGG